AAACTTATTTTGCTATAACATCAACATAAAGTCATGGCCAACTGGAACAATTTTTATTCGAAATATTGAGAAAGGCTATTAGGGATTTATTTAAGAACAAAGTGTTTTTTCATATAGCATCGACTAAAGTCATGGCCAACTCACACAGATTTTTAAAGCGGAATATGGAGAAGTAATTTTAGGGATTTTTTCAAATTAAAAATTATTTCAAAACTACCTAAAACTAACTAGACCACTGACCAAATTTTTTAATGTAAAAAAAATATAAATACCTTCTAAATAACAATTATTTTGGGTGTGATTTTAATCATACCAATTTTAAAAATAATGACAAAAAGAACTATTTTTTAAGGGACATTTATTTTATAGTATTAAACAATTTATTATTTTTATTATATTAATATTATTATTATTATTATTAGAATTAAACCGCAAATTTAGGACAGTGCACACTTATAAGCGGATTTATTACTGGGTCCATTTATGCCTGTGTGAAATTTTGCTTAAATTAATTTCCAGAAGTTTTCCTAATTTCATTGTAATACCAGTTTCTTTTTTGTAAGAGTGAAATAAAACAATTCTATTGAGATTTTTAATTTAAAATAAGTTACATATTGTTGACAAACAAACACACACCTACACACAAATGATACGGTAACACTTATATCCCTATAAAGTTCACATACAACTACTACAACCTATTTTTTGTGTTTTTGTTTTTAGCCTAACTGCACACGCGCGTTTTTTCACCAGTTTTTCCATATCCTTATCAATTTCTGAAATTTCGATCTCTAAACTTACTAAACTAAACTAAACTACTCGCTTTTCTACTTCTGATAGAGATAAACTCGACATCGAAATCAAATACATATGGACCCAGCAAAGGTGAAAAGATAATTTCCGCTAGACCAAAAACTGAATATATCCAGTTATAACATGCCTATTGCGACTAGGGTAGTCCCGATGGGGGAAAAATAATTCAAAGTACTACTTACAGGTGCATGTGATATTTCAAGCACATTGTATCCAAGCTACATGGAAATTAAAATAGCTAGGTTTTACGTAGTCTTGAATGAGAATTTTTTAAGAAAGAAATCTATAGTTGTCCTTCTCGATACTTGGTATCAAAAAATTTTCTCAATTAGCAAAAAATATCAAAATCCTTCTACAAACTAAGATTTTACAGGGGTGTTCCGTTCTTAAGTGGGACACACGATATATGGAACATGTCTAAAATTTAAAAAATACAATAATACACGGGGTGTTCTACGCAAAATGGGCAAATTGACACCACTTCCGGTTTAGTCGAATCGTTCGAAAATATTTTTTGTGTTATTTTCATTAATATTTCAAGTTTTTGCAGTTTTTGCAAGAATAGAGAAGAATAGAAAGAAAGTAAAGAAAAAGAACTCAAGGTGTGCTTATGTATTATACTACAAGTTTAATTAACTATGTTCTTCTTCTAAGACCATTATTTTTTTGGTACATTTTTGCAAAACAGCAAGGATTCATTTACTGTGTGACGTGTGACATGACTATCAGAACTGACCAACGTCAAATTATCATCCTTAAAATATAGCTGGAAGAAACCCAAAACTCGTGACTAAAATATGGGACCGTAAATAACGAAGTTGACGTTTTAGACAGCTTAACCCTTTTATAATTAGAGTATTTAGTATAAAAATTTAATGAGAGTACTGTTTTTTTAATTATTTAGCTGGTTGGTCAGCTAGAATGTCACGTTGAATTGAATTAAGTTAAGTTTTAACCTTAATTTTGAATGTACAATACAATAAATCGTAACCTGAGAGTACCCATGGACTATCTGGACATTTAACATCAATGAACATTAAAAAAATAAAAGTTGTTTTGTTTTTGATGCCAATAAGACTGTGAACAAAAAATATGATGCCAAACAAAATGAGTATGGTTACTTCAGTAGCAGAAAAAACGTTCGTCCTACTATTTTCGTTTGCGGGATAACAACATTGCCCACTAATTAGGAAAACTGCTATTCTCACTTTTCAAAATGCATCTTTGTCTCTTGCAAAGTGAAACAGTTCCTCTACACTCATATCGGAGCAGTCCAGATATTTCTCAGCCAGCATATCCTTTTTCTTCCTATGCCCTTGCGTCCATCTACTGGTCCCTCTATGCTGATCTGTAGTAGTTCGTATTTATAATTTCTCAGAATATGATCATTGAGTTGTTTCACTTCCTTCTTTAAGCTTCTCAAGACTTCTTCATTAATGTTTTAACTCTTAGGAAGGATTGCTCGCAGTTTCAATTTTGATTTTTATTTTATAATATTGGTCTAGTTCTGGTATTTAACTAACTTTTTCTACATAGAAATTTTAATTTGAAATTATTTCGTAAAGAATTTTTGCGTCCCTTTTAAGAATTGTATGGCCCTGTAAAATCTTTATTTATGGTTCGATTTTGGTAACAAACTAAAAATTGTCGGAAAGGTGTTTCAAAATGCACTATAACCTAATTAAAGAGAGCGATTTTTAAAGTATAAATCAATATACTATATCAATTTCTATCATGTTTTAATACAGCTTGTTTAAAGTATCGGTTACGCCTCCCATAGCAATTACTTGTACATCCTTATAAATATTTAATTATTGTTTGCCTTTTTTTTGCTGAATAGGTCTATCAAAAAACTCAAAAAAAAAACTTATTTTGCTATAACATCAACATAAAGTCATGGCCAACTGGAACAATTTTTATTCGAAATATTGCAAACCTGCAAACAAGTAACTAATATTTCTGATTTTAGGATCAGGATTATGCAAGGGGCCATCGAGATAGAAAAGCCCGGACACCTGAATACGAGAGATGACGCTCTGCAGTTATCCAATACGTGGAGAACCATAATCAAATAGCAGCGCGATACGCAGCAGCCAACGGGGACATCGCAACTACGATCGGCGAAATTAACAACGCGACTTTTATATATATATATATATATATATATATATATATATATATATATATATATATATATATATATATATATATATATATATATATATATATATATATATATATATATATATATATATATTCTCACGTATTGATTCACGGATGGAAAAATGTGATGACACTATATTCCGGGATATCATCCGTTCGCTCGTTGAACTCCGACTGGAATCATGTATCCGACTGGAATCCTGCAAACTGCAAATCCTGCATCCGACTGGAATCCTGCAGACGTTTCGCCAAAATCTCACTTGGCATCTTCAATGCTCGCGCTCCGAAAACACTTCGAACACTGTGATACAGGATTCCAGTCGGAGTTCAACGAGCGAACGGATGATATCCCGGAATATAGTGTCATCATATATATATATATATATATATATATATATATATATATATATATATATATATATATATATATATATATATATATATATATATATATATATATATATATTAAAAAGGTTGATAAAAATATTTAAGAATCGGAGATTCAATAGTAACACTTGGTCAGAGTCTGTAGAGTTCAAATGGTTAAAAAAACCTAGGAGGAATTCTTAACCACGAGGACAAATAACAAAAGAATCATCAACTTAGCATTTTCATAATTTTGCCTTAAGATGGAAGGAAGGTGTCGAGGGCTTTCTTCTCAAAATGTCTTTTCTAAATATATTCGCGATGACTGGTGATAATGAAGAACCCGCGCTGTACCCTACGTTTGTTAAAAAATTTGACGGTTATAATGAAAATATGTTCCAGACAACCATTTTTCAATTAAGATAAAAAGGTATGGTTCTATATTTTTGGATTTTAATATATCTGAAGTAATATTGAGAGTTTCAAGAATTGGAACTTTGGTAAAGAGGGAGTCTACGTCGCAACTAACCCGAATATCCTGTGGATCTAATGTAATGGCTTTTAATTGTTCAATGAAATGAAAAAAATTAAATACGAAACTATCAGTTTTCTCTGTAAGGGTTTTAATATTGATGCTAGATATTTTGCTAGAGAATATGTTGGAGAACCAATAGTGCTGACAATAGATCGAAGGGTAATCCTCGTTTGTGAACCTTAGGGAGTCCGTAGAACCATGGAATTTTAGAGTCATGAGGAGTGACATACTTTTCCACGGATTGCGATAGAGAAGAAGCAGTAACAGCAGATTTATGGTTGCGTGCCATAGATCAGTAGAATCAGTCTGTAAGAATATTTTGAATTTCTAATATTCACTTAGATTTTAGAGCAATGCCTTGAGACTTTGAAATATTCGATTTAGGCGGTTTGGATTTTCGCCGTTTCAAATCGAATTTGGTCCTTAAAAGTGCCGCGTGCATTCTTTACATATGCACCAAAGAATACATTGGTAAGACAGGACCAAAAATATCGTCTAGGTTCAAAGAACATGAAACTCATCACCAGTTGCCGAACACAACCACGAAACCGAACATAAAATTTTATTTTAACTAACCAAAACTAAAATTTTTGGATGTAATCAATTTTTCAAACAAGGAAAAAACCGAGAATCTATAGAAATCTATAAGCAACCAAACAATCTTAACATCGACTTAGGTGTTCACCCTTTAGCAATTTGGTAATCAGTCATCTAAGACAATCTTCATGGTCTGGCAAAATTCATACCTATTATTAACAAGCTATTCTGAACTCAAATCCATTGCCAAAATTCGCACACTCAATTACCTCCAGAGCCATGTCTACTATACTGTCAATAGGCCATCAATTTTTGGGAACCATATGTAGGCTTATATTTCCCAAATTGACCCTGATTTGGCCATAAAATTGAATTTAACAGATCCTTAAAAAACTACCTATATCCTCTATATGGATTGTTAAATTTTAAATTGACGGGAGAAGTTTACTTTTGCTATTAACGTCCAGCGAGCACTTATAATTTCGAAATCCCTACATTAGTGTTAATCGTTAAACAAACAGTATATCGCTAGTTGCGACAACAATCAAGAACGAGTCTTGGTCGGCACAGTCCGGTCACCAAAGCCGTACGGCGCCGAAGCCAAACCTAACTATGTATGTGGTGGTACTGTTACCGTATCGACATCGATCTTTGCGTCGAAGCGCGGAAGAAAGGAACAGGCGGTTCCACCGAGTGTGTCATATATCGTACCCGATCTCTTTCGACATTCGGATAAAAGTGCCATGATTTTGGAAAATGCAGTGCCAAACTGGGTCGTCGAAAAGTGCTGGAAACGAAAATCGGGCGGACCCACCGGCTCAGTGAGTTAACTTTGCAACGCGTTACCACCCTCCGCACTTTATCGACCCCGTTCAAAAAAACTTCTTTTTTAATATTCATAGTGAAGTGCGAGTTTATTTCGGTTGCGCCTAAAATGAATGTGGTTTTTGTGTGTGTTTTTGTTTGCGAAATCGTCAGGGCGACCTCATGTAAGTAAAAAAGTTACTCCGTTTTTCCGCGTTGCATTTCTCACTTAAAATAACCCAGTTCGCAAAAAAAAAAAAAAAATATATATATATATATATATATATATATATATATATATATATATATATATATATATATATATAGCGATTTTTGAATCCATTATAGAAAGAAAACTTCATATGAACACATGCCCTTAACGTCTTAAGTTTTGAGATTTGAGTGGTAAATTTTTTGAAAAATAAAATATATTTTTTTAATGTCTGTAATAAAATAATAAACCATTGGCAGGAGTACGCAATTCTACATATCTATCTTGATGGTACGCCACTGATTTCTCTTAAAATAGAAATTATTCTTTCAATCTCCCAATCATTTCTAAAGGATTCTAATTTCTTGATTTTTTCATTCCGATGTACGGTTTTCGATTAAAAAAATATCGTTTATGTGACAGCATGCAGAGAATTATTAACATTATTATTCTAATGTCTTCTAATTTTTGTTTTTTCTGAAGGATGCTAGTTGGTTACTAAAAACTAGATATTTGGTTTTATTATTTTATTTTTCACAAAAAAAGTTCTCGATTTAACCAATGCACTGGCGACCTAATTAACCAAAATATTTTTTGTTCACACGCCGCTAATTTCCTTAAAAAAAAAATGACATTTGCCGTCATTTATGAGCAGATTTGATCTCTTAATATTTTCTCATTAGAAATGATTGGATATTGTAAGAATAATTTTTATTTTAATTGAAATCATCAATTTCTGCCAAAATATACATGGGAAAAAATTTTAATTAATTATCTAAAGTGGTATTACTGATATTAAAAAAAATATATTTCATTTTTCAAAAAAATTCCCACGCCGTATCTCTAAAACCTAAGACGTTTAGGGCATATGTTCGTATGAAGTTTTCTTTTTATAATGGATTCAAAATTCTCTTAATTATTGACATTCGATTAGAAAAAACTCTGTATCTCTTTGAAGCCCGGTAAGTGGGGTTATGTAATCCCTTTTTATAATTTTTGTGTCCTGACGTTGTGTGAGTGTATATTTCAGAATTGGATTATTATTATTTTTTTGAGTGTTATTTAAAATTCTATAAATGAGTTAATTAGTTATAATTAAATAAAATCTTTGATGTTCTATGCTGCAAATCTTGGATCGAAGTACAGTCTCACTGGTGCCCCAGACAGGAATCAAATACCAGAAGTGCGTTAAAAAGAAGTTATTTCTGCACAGTGTACAAACCATTGGTTTGTACACCGTGCAGACATATGTCTAATGTGACAAGTGTCTAATGTGTTCAGTTCAGCTTATTTTCAATTACAAGTCTTGGGTATTTTATTTCTGATACATGCTCAATAGGTTAATTGTTTAGTTTTATATTCGGAATTTAAGGTGTTTTACTAAGATTGATTTTTAACTTATTAAACCTTAACCAATGTCCTTGACATTATCAAAGCACTTTGTCGTCAGCAAACGTATAATATATTGAGACTAAACCAGCGTTTTTCAGGGTAAGCACATAGAGAGAGTAAAATAGAGCGCTAAGAACTGAAAGTTGTGACACCCCAAAAATACCAACCTCCTCTTACACACTGTGGTTTATTAGACACCATAATGTATAATGTACCGGGTGATCGTTTATAATCTAACGTTCATGAAAAAAATGTCAAATACAAAAGTTGTTTAAAAATAGTAAGCTACTTGCAGGATATATTTTTATATATACAGCGTCTTGCAGAAATCACCCACAGATAAAAGTTATATATTTTCTAATGGGATACATATTATACGCTTAATAAAATTCTCAAAAAATTCTGAATATTTCTTGTATAATATGCCCTATACCCAAATCCAATAGTTTTTGAGATACATGCGCTGCTTACATAAAAGAAACCTTCAAAAATAAAATAATATTCTAGAATTTATAATTTATATCTTAGTTGGCTGTTAAGTAGGTCGTCACCAAAAAACAAAATGTTTGTTTATAAGTAAGTGACAGAGAGAGTTACCGGTTACAGATTTAAATACAGATAAAATCCCTTATTCTGAAAGAGAAAAACAATTGAAGAGTGGAAATGTCAAAGCGGTTGTGTGTCATTTTTTAATATACTAACATTTCGCGTTAGAATTATCTATCGTACGTGCTCCGCCGCATGTCCTGAATAAAGGAATATGTGCCTAAAGTGACAATTGAGTAACCTGCATTTGCCTTCTTTTACAAACACCGGCAATTATAACCAATGTAAATTTAATCAGTTTTTCTTGATTATTTCAAAAATGTAATTTTCACACATACCCCCTTTTGAATTTTAAGCTTCAATTAATTTTGGAAACGTTTGTTCAAGCAAATAGGTGGACTAAATTGGCTCAAAGGGAACGAACGTGTGAAAATTTTTAACAAACATCCAACCTAACCAGAAAGAAGAGAACATTTCGTGTAATATTATATCCAAATATTGAACCATACCAATCAAAAGATCTAGAAACACTGCTATTTTTAAATTCTCCTGATCTAATTCAGTCGAAATATTATTTACAAGATCGACCCTTTAAACACCTTTAATAAAGCCATAGTGAAATTCATCGAGATCTATGTACTTACTAATGAAAGGGATCATTCTCTCCTTAATCACATCTTAACAATTTTTACAAAGTCACTAATGCCACTGATAATTATCAATACACTTTAGAAAACTATTTAAATACTTTTTCTATTAATTTTTATTTCATGTGGAAAAACACCACTGGCGAGGACCGAATTGGCCAGTTTAGTTAACATAACTAACATTGAGCATATCTTGAACTGTTACCGGAGGATGACCAGGGGTCGACGTTTTTTTTAATCCTAATAATATATTCACAATTTCTTGTTCATAGAGCAGATCGAAAAGTTTCATTAAAATGAGGGTTATTACGACCAATTTGTACTAGATTATCTTTGTGATTGTTCATTTCTTGTACTATGTTTTTACCTACGTTAGAGAAGTTAAGTTCTTAGTTATATTAGTTAGAAGATAAACTTTTCTAGTACCATTTTCAAATATCCTAGATTCTATCTATCTATTCTAAGTTTTTTTTTATAAATTACTGCTTCCTTAAAATGTATATATTTGTCACCCTGTTTTTTGAAGTCTTCCTCCTTAAGTATTCAATTGTTAAGTGTTTCTTCTTGATTATATACATCTTCTTCTTTTTTCAATTATTCCAATAACTCCTTAGTCATCCACTTGTGTTTTGTATTTTCTAACTAAATAATATTTCAAATTTATTGTGGCCTTCACTTTTAACTTCATACACTACTTTTTTTTTATATGACTTTTCTGTGATGTTAATTACCAGTTTGTTATAAGACAAAGTATTGTCTTCATCCACTAAATGTGCAAGTACTTTTTTACTTATATTTTTAGATATTTTCCAAATAATTTTCACTTCTAAGTTCCAAATTATTGTTAATAATTATAACAATAATATTCTAAGTGTCTGTTAGGAAAATAAAAATCATCAGTTAACTAACTTAGGTCCGAATAAGCCATTTAACTTTTTGATTTCATTATAGATTATTTATAGATTTTATGATCAGTTTCTGCAGTATAATTAAACATTTTTTTAGATTTTTTCCAAATAATTTTCACTTCTAAGTTCCAAATTATTGTTAATAATTATAACAATAATATTCTAAGTATCTGTTAGGAAAATAAAAATCATCAGTTAACTAACTTAGGTCCGAATAAGCCATTCAACTTTTTGATTTCATTATAGATTATTTATAGATTTTCTGATCAGTTTCTGCAGTATAATTGAACATTTTGGTAGAATATTTTTTTTACATTATATTTATACGTATTACCAAATTTAAGAAATTTCTATAGTATGCTGAGTGCTTGGATATTATTTTGTCAATTCTTTGACTCTTTGATGCCCCGCCCTATCCCAGAACACCATAGTTGAATTGAAATGTTAATTTATTCTGACCAACAATCAACCTATTCTTTTCAAATAATTTTCAGAATAAATTATCTTTCTGAACATCACCACGTATAAATATCACATTTATCTTGGATCGCTGCGCTAAAAATGACATGGTTAAAATGACATCAAGTCGCCCATGAAAATCGAGTAGGTTCGCACCTATGGAGCGAGAGATTTTCTTAATTATCAAAATATCATTTTACCAAGGTCATTTCTATTGCAACACTCAAAGCGATATTTTTAAAATGTTCTCAGAAGCAAATGAGAAATTTTTTTGTGGTGCCTGTCAGATTGAAGAGTGAGTTGTAGCTACATTCTATTCTATTCTATTATTCTCGTTTTTATTGATACGAACTGTTGTAACGCCTTGCCTCTGCGAGCAAAACCAGCTATTATCCCATGGAAAGTTGGCAACAATTGTCCGTTTTTCTGAGTTGTACTTATCTGCTATTTGAGCCCTTGATTTTGAAAGTGGTATAAACCATAAATTTTGAAAATTAGCTACTTCATATGCTAATAAAATTCCTAATAAAATAACATAATCTGAAGCAATTCGCAGTATATCATGAAAATTAAGTTTATTTCTTAGTTAATAAACAAAATATAATTACTGTATATTTTGATAGTGATATAATTCAGTCCTTTTGTTTGGCAAAATAATTGTTAATTGTAAACATTATACGGCGAAGAAATGGAAGAAAGCAACATGAAGTCAAGAAAGAAGACAAGAAATCAATGCACAGAATATAAGAACAGTGTTGAGAAATAGTGGCGAAGAATGTGAAACAAAAGTGAATGGCACAGTTTTTGAAAATAAAGATTGCCTTTGTTCCAAAAACTGTATAAATAGATTCGGATAAGAAGACAGGAAAGCTAGTTTTGATTCTTTTTGGAAATTAGCAAATTGCGAAAAAAAAATTTGAAATGTACGGAATTCAGAAGTTTCTGTTTGCAAAATTTTTTGTGTCTTAAATGCTGAAACACCTGGACCGAATGGTCGTGGCAAAAAGGGTATTTCAATTAGA